GTGGTCTTGGGTTCAGGTCCTGACCTTATGACTTTGGACAAGTACCTGTTTCCCTGAAAACAAGACCTACCCATAAAATAAGCCCTAGCAGGATTTCTAAGCATTTGCGCAATATAAGCCCTGCCCCGAAAATAAGACCTAGTGATGGGCGTGACTATGCAGTGCATCTGCACAACCCATGCATTTCATCGTGAGCAGTAAAGAAGACGAGCAGCCCTCCTCATCTGCCCCATCATGACAGCGACTATCCCAGAGGTGGCGGGAAAGGTGTGGGCAGCCCCACCAACAAGGTCGGCTCCCCCTGTCAGGTCCCGGCCATCCTGTGTGTGCTGCAAGCTGAGGCTTTGAGGGGAAATAACACATCCCCTGAAAATAAGCCCTAGGGTGTCTTCTTTAGGAAAAATAAATATAAGATCCTGTCTTATTCTCGGGGAAACATGGTACATTTCTTTCTGTTGTTCTTCTTTTAAATAATAGCTTGATCAAGATATAAACCATAAAATCCCTCCTTTTAAAGTGTACAATTCAGTGTTTTTGGTATGTTCACGGAGTTCTGCAGCCATCATAGTATGCCCCTCGGAGCCTCCGTTTCCTTATCCGGAAGCTTTGGGTGGTTATGGTTCTGCCCCACAGGGCTGTTGTGAGACGCGATTAAGAACATGCATGTGGAGAGCTTGGCACGGTGCCTGGCTGATAGGAAACCCTCGGCCAGCAGGAGCAGTTATGGTTATTATTTCTCATCACAGCACCAGACCCACCTCCCCAGCAGGGCTCCCCCACCCCCACCCGCCTGTGCAGCAAATATGCAAATGAGGAGAAGGCAATGCCTGTGGTTGTTTAAAAAGCGCTGAGTCGGCTGATAATTGACTCAGCCACAGCCACTCCCATCTGCTAAGCCGGCATTCTCAAAGTGTGGTCCCAGAACAGCGGCATTAGCATCACCAGGGAACTCTGTAGAAATGTGGATTCTCAGGCTCCACATCCTACTCCCTGAATCAAGAGTGGGGGCCCAGAAATCAGTATTTTTAACAAGCCACTAGGCAATTCTGATGCCCACTCTAGTTTGAGAGCCGTGAATCTAAGCAAACCATTCATTTTTTCACCCCTAATCTTGCTCCCTCCTGAATGAGGCAATAGTTGTGGAATGGGTGGGGGGATGTAGACAGGAAGCCAAGCAGCACCCACCTGACCCAGCTCTGCCTCCTGGGTGGGCAAAGGAGGACATGGGCCCCGCATTGCAGCAAGACACAGTCAGTGTGCTCCAGAAAGTGGCTGCCAGTCTGGCCTCTCTGCGGGGGAGTTTAAAGAGGGATCCAGGCCAGGCGGTTCTTATGTACCATCTATTCTTGCATATATGGGGAAGCCAAGGCTCCAGGGTGGGGGGCAGAAACAATCCTTAGACAGCCCTTATTTGTCATACGCATCAAGCCACACACTGGTTCTGGCAGACACAAGCAGACCCAGCTCAGGGGCTCCTTCACTCTGTCTTCTCCACCCCGGATCTCCAGATCTTCAGATCTAGCCCCAGCTCTGCCACCAATTCGCTGTGCGATCTTGAGCAAGTCTGTCCCTCCCTGGGCCCGTTTCCTCATCAGGACGATGGGGATAATTATTCAGGTGCCTGGAACACAGGATGCTCCCTGTCACACCAAGTACGTCCCTGCACATGTCCTGAGCATCGAGGGTAAAGAAACTCCCAGCCAGGGGATTAAGGCAGCGGGAGGTGAAGGTCAGGGGCTTCGTAAGCAGCATCCGCCCAAGGTTGCTGGCCAAGGTCAGAGGCACGTCTGTCTTCTTAGGAAAGACACTCGGGAGCATGACAAGTTAGGGATGGGGGAGCTTTGGGAGCCTCTTCAGTTGCTACAAACTGGGTCTTTAGTGACATACATGGTGTTTCGATGTTCATGTAATGTGAATCCTGCTATTCATTTACTCAGTCTTTCAACAGTGTTGTGAAATCCACCAATCATCACACACCTCACCCCTGCCAAATGGCAGAGGCCAGTGTAGCAAATGGGTGGGGCAGCATTCAAAGTGGGCTTTTCCTGTTTGCACTTTTAAGGAAATATGTCTTAAAATTTATATTTGCTTGTTATTGCCCAAGCAACCCATTTATATTCTTAAAAAAATTAGGAAATACAGATAAGTGGAAAGCAAAACTAAAGCCATGTCACTTCATTTTGCCACCAGAGATAAGCCTTGCTGGCTCTTGGTGGCTATATAAAAAACATGTGTATTTTAAACATTGGGGTCATACTGCCCTTAACATTTTGTAATCTGCTTCTTTCACTTAGCCTATTGTGAAGTGAAAACTTTATAGAATGTATAACTATTTTTTTTTTTTTTTTTTTTTGAGACAGAGTCTCGCTTTGTTGTCCAGGCTAGAGTGAGTGCCGTGGCGTCAGCCTAGCTCACAGCAACCTCAAACTCCTGGGCTCCAGTGATCCTTCTGCCTCAGCCTCCCGAGTAGCTGGGACTACAGGCATGCGCCACTATGCCCGGCTAATTTTTTATATATATATCAGTTGGCCAATTAATTTCTTTCTATTTATAGTAGAGACGGGGTCTCGCTCTTGCTCAGGCTGGTTTCGAACTCCTGACCTTGAGCAATCCGCCCGCCTCGGCCTCCCAAGAGCTAGGATTACAGGCGTGAGCCACAGCGCCCGGCCCAGAATGTATAACTATTGACAGGGTAAGAAAAGTGTTGAAAAAAAATTTTCTTGAGGCCAGGCGTGGTGGCTCACACCTGTAATCCTAGCACTCTGGGAGGCTGAGGTGAGAGGATCGTTTGAGCTCAGGAGTTCAAAACCAGCCTAAGCAAGAGTGAGACCCTGTCTCTACCAAAAATAGAAAAAATTAGCCAGGCATGGTGGTGCATGCCTGTAGTCCCAGCTACTCGGGAGGCTGAGGCAGAAGGATTGCTTGAGCCCAGGAGTTTGAGGTTGCTGTGAGCTAGGCTGACGCCACAGCACTCTAGCCAGGGCAACAAAGTGAGACTCTATCTCAAAAAAAAAAAAAATCTTGACACACCTAGGAAGCCCCAGCGTGACCCACTGCTCCCTGAGGTTCTGGGTTCAGCTGAGAAAGGGGACTGGGGGTGTCTGTCCAGGGCCATGCTGAGTGCCCATGAAGTCAGGCCCTTCCCTGGGGAGGGAGCTAGATGAGATGACCACAGGGAGGGACCTTCCAGTCCCAAACCCTGTTCAGGGCAGTCCCCATCCAGGTGGATGTGGCTGCTGCTTTTTCTGTGGCTAATTATTGAGCACACGGAGCTAGTGCTCTCCCCTCCTGCTCCCCATGCCTTGCCTCAGTGCTGACTCAGCTCTGGCTGGAACTGGTGAAGGGGGCCTGTTCTCACTCATTCATTCCAAACACTCTGCTGCCACCTGCCACCTGCCTTCTCCAACCAGGAGCATTCGCTGGGATGCAGCCCCCTATCCTGCCCTCTAAAAAGGCTGGGAGCCCCTGTCCTAGGAGGCATAAGTGGGTCAGGGTAGGGCCGTGTTCATTACATGCCGTCCTCCCATCAGCCCCCATTTTACAGATAAGGAGACTGGCTCAGAGAAGGCAGGTGACTTTCCCAGGGCCACACACACAAGCAGGACTGGGATTCAAACCCAGACCTCTCTGACCTTACGGCCACCCTGAAACACGAACACAAATAAAGCCACGTAGAAAGTGACTTGGGCCACATGCAGGGAGGGGGAAGTTCTGGAGAGGGGACAGTGGGGTGGGGGCGAGGAACCACTGGGGGGGGGCTCCTCACAGCAGGTAGCATCTGTGTTTGCATAGGGGTGAGGGGTGAGCAAGTCTCGCAGGCTCAGAGGGTGAAGTATTCACTATTCACGGCAGCGGTGCAGAGGTGGGGAGATTCTGGGGACATTTGGGGAAGGCCGGTGGGTCAGTCCAGAAGGAATGTATTCCAGAGAACCCATTCCCTCTGGAGTCTCTTCCTGGCCACATGTGTGTTCAGCATGCCCCCATCCCAAAGAGGGGTGCTTCCTGGAGTCCGGCTCATTCCCCTTTGCTGCGTCTGCAGACTGTACCCTCTCATCCCGCCCCCCTCATCTACTCGCCTACTGCCAAGGCCCCGGCTTCTTTCCTATGCCCTTTGTCCTCTCCTGTGTACTGGGAAACTGGGAACCCTGGCTCTAATCTCAGCTCTGGTCTGGACATACCAGGAAACCTTAGGTGAATCCCTCTCCCTCTCTGGACCTCAGTTTCCCTCAAATGTACAATTGGGGATGATGGAAGTATTGGATAAGTTAGGATCTAAAGTTCCTCCCATTTCTAAACATCTGGTTCTGGGCCACTCTGTAGCTTCTCACTGTCCCCAGGGAAGTTCCTGGCCTCGATGGCCCAGCTCCACACTGCCTGGTTCTCCTCCCTATGCCCTCTCCCCCTGCATCCTTCCCTCCCTACCTGTCCTTCCTGATCCCCTGTCCTTTGGTAGCTGTCTCGTTATTTAATTCCTTAAGAGCCCATGAAGGCAGAGGCAGTTGTCCCCATTCTGCAGGTGAGGTCATGCTCCTGCCACTTTGGTGTGCATGGGGGAAGGGGGTCCCTCCTTCAACCACTGACCTCCCCTAAGCCTCTGGGACACTTCTCCCAAGACAACTTAAAACCGAGCTAGGGGCTGAGGCCACCACTTGTGGGTGGCTGAGCCTGGAGGAACCCCCAGCCTGTCCGTTGCCACTGCCAGCCCAGGCACACCTGCCACTCACGGTGGAATGACCAGTTCTCCGAGGTGCAGCCTGCATCAGGGAGCACTCGAGAGGGTTGTGGGGTGTCCGTGAACTCAGCAGCATGAGGTTTGGGGAGTGCTGCCTTTGGTGGCCAGCACAGAGCCGTAACTCTGGGGAACTCTGATTCTGATTTCCAAATAATTCTCCTCAAATAATGCTTCTTTCCTCCCCTGACTCAGCAGCCCCCTGCCAGAAGCTCCTTGGCTGTCCTATCCCTCCAGCAATCTAACCTTTTCCCTCATGCTGCAATTACAGATTTTTGCTGGTCTTCAGCTGCCTGGTGCTGTCTGTGCTGTCCACTATCCAGGAGCACCAGGAATTTGCCAACGAGTGTCTCCTCATCTTGGTGAGTGTCGGGAGCCCAGGTCCGAGGGGCCCGTGTAAGGTGGAGAGAGGCTTCTCATACCATGACTCAGAGAGCAGCTTGCTGTGCTGTGTTCCCTGGGCTGGTGGCCGCCCCTCTCTGGGCATTGTTCCCACTCTATAGTATGTGTTGGGGGACTGCCTGCCTCTATGTGAGGGCTTATGATGGGCCCAGAATAGAAGAAGGGAGTAGGGCCCACCCCTTCTCAGGACAAAAACTGCTAATGCCACTTGTGGTGGGTTATAGTTTAGATTAGGTGATTGTTTTTGTTTTTGTATTTTTTTTCCTAAACAAAAAACATCCAAAAACCCAGCCAGGGTTAGGGAGTCTGAGATGTCTGGGAGAGGGAGGGCAGGTTGAGGAGCAGAAAAGTCCAGACAGCTCATGGGGGTAGAAAGGGGAGGACAGACTTGGGCCTTGGTCTCCTTGGAGGGCCTGGAATGGGCCACCTGCCTTCTGTAAATCCTCCTCAAGTCCATCCAGGTGTAAGAACCTCCAGGAGAGGGGTCCGAGAAGGTTCTGGCCCTCCGCCCCAGGGACTCCTGGATGGGTTGGCACTGTGACCAGGGCCCTGGTTCTGGGAAGTGGGGACCAGAACTCAGGCCCCTGGTCCCACAGGAATTCGTGATGATTGTGGTGTTCGGCCTGGAGTACATCGTCCGAGTCTGGTCGGCTGGATGCTGCTGCCGCTACCGAGGATGGCAGGGCCGCCTGCGCTTTGCCAGAAAACCCTTCTGTGTCATCGGTAATAAGGCCTGCCCTGCAGGACCTGGCCCCTGACTCCTCACCTTAAGCAATAGGGTTGACATCTTGACCCCATTCCTGACCCCGACCCTGACCCTGACCCTTGGCTACTGACACATTCAACAGACCTTTCCAATCCCCCGCGACCCACGGCCCCAGAAGTCCCCGACCCGGGTGGGCTGGCTCCCTGGCGCCGCCGGCTGTGACCTTGCCACCCCCGCCCCTGCAGACTTCATCGTGTTCGTGGCCTCAGTGGCCGTCATCGCTGCGGGCACACAGGGCAACATCTTCGCCACGTCTGCACTGCGCAGCATGCGCTTCCTGCAGATCCTGCGCATGGTGCGCATGGACCGCCGCGGCGGCACCTGGAAGCTACTAGGCTCGGTGGTCTACGCGCACAGCAAGGTGAGGCCCGCGTGCCGTCTGGGGAGGAGCAGAGACGGCAGGGCCTGAGAGGAGCTGGGGTGGAGTGGTAGAGAGACTAGGGACAACGCAGCGGGTGAGGCCAGAGACTACCTCCGCGAGGGAAGGGCGTGACCAGGACAAGGGGGCGGGGCCTGAGGGGCGGGGCAAGGTGGGCCGGAGCTGGGCGGGGCGGAGCCTAGGGGGTCAGGACCAGACCAGGAGGCGGGGCCTGAGAGGGCTTGCCCGTTTCACCTGGAAGCTTCTGGGTTTGGACTGACTACTAGCACAGCACGGTGGGAGTGAGCTGGGGCGGGAGCGGGGGCTACTGTCGGGCTAGATCGAAATCTGAAAGGGGGCGTTGGGGGTAGGCAAGGTGGCCTGGGGTGGAGACTGAGCCTGCCACCTAGAGAGTCAAGGGCAGGCCCCGGAGTCCTGACGGTTTCGCGAAGGCGGGGCAGGGGTCCTTGAAGGGAGGAGCTGAGAAAGAAAAGCAGCAGATTCACAGCTGGGGCGCTCCAAGAGCTGCGGTGTTTTACCCCCTTCCATTCTGGGAGCTCCCACCTCTCCCGGGCTCAGCGCCCCTCACCTCCTCACTCCCTCTCCTCGCCCTGCAGGAGCTGATCACGGCCTGGTACATCGGGTTCCTGGTGCTCATCTTCGCCTCCTTCCTGGTCTACCTGGCGGAGAAGGACGCCAACAACGACTTCTCCTCCTACGCCGACTCGCTCTGGTGGGGGACGGTGCGTGAGGGTCTGTGCAGGGCTGCTCTTCTGCCTGGGGCTCTGCCTAGGAACTTCCGACTGGGGGTTGAGCAGGCCTGTCCCTGCCCTCTGGCTAGAGTAGGACTCCTGAGACCAGACCCTATGGGAGCCCCCCAACCTGTGTAGTGGACCTGCTTGTGCTCCCACCTAGCCCCCCACATCAAGCCCTTGTGACCTGTGCCCCTTTCTGCTGTCCAGCACTGGAGAGGGCTGCCCCTAACAGCCCCTGTGGCAGGTCCTTGTAACCAACTCCCATGGGTGACCACCGACCCTTTCCCTAATGATCAGGCTCACACCAGCCTGTGTCCCCAACAAGCTCTTGCAGGTGGCCCCCATGACCAGTCCTGCAGGTGACTTGTTTGTATCCCCAGATTACGTTGACAACCATCGGCTATGGTGACAAGACGCCGCACACATGGCTGGGCAGGGTCCTGGCTGCCGGCTTCGCCTTACTGGGCATCTCTTTCTTTGCCCTGCCCGCCGTGAGTTGCCCTCTGCTGGGTTGGTGGGGGAGGCTAGGAGCGGGACCTGCTCAGCCCCTGTCACAGATTTGCCTGAGTAGCCTGGGGCACCTTGGTGGGCACAGATGGGGATACCCTTGCAGCCTCTTGTTGCCTCCAACTACTACATTGCCCCAACCGTGCCCTATCCCCCAGGGCATCCTGGGCTCTGGCTTCGCCCTGAAGGTCCAGGAGCAGCACCGGCAGAAGCACTTTGAGAAGCGGAGGATGCCAGCAGCCAATCTCATCCAGGTACAACATGCCCAGGATGCCCTGTGAAGAGATGTGTGTCAACCCTGTATGCTGACCCATGTGTCCCAGACCAACTGTGACTCTACTTTGAAGCTCAGAGAGGGGGTGTGGCTTTTCTGGGTCACATGCCAAGCCATAGACAGAGCTGGGATGCTGAGATTGTCAGAAACGTTCCCCTGCACCACATGCCCAGTTTAGGGCTGACCACGGCTGTCCCACTGCCCAGCTCCAGGCCCCACTCTACAGGGCCTGGAGAGGGGTGGAGCCGGGACAAGAGGCCCCAGGCCCCTGGAGGAGAGCCAGTTCTGCCACTGGTCAGCTGTGCAGCTCTCAGTAAGCCTGCTCCATTCCCAGAACCTTCATTCATTCATTCATTTACTCATTCCATAAACACTCATACAAATGAAACGAACATGGTCCAGATTGGGTGTTTAGGAACCTCAACATTTAGTGGCTGGGTGGGCAAAGTTGAGCTGGCTAAGGAGACAAGAGGAGCAGCCAGAGGGGTGGCTGGAGAGCCAGGAGTCTCCATTTCCCTTAGTGTCATGGGGTGTTCTGACCAGTTGTGGCCTGAGGCCAGGGCTTTTGATTTTCTGTGATCCTGGGACTAGGCCTTGGCTTTTTTCTAGTCAGGGGTGTGTGCAAGAGAACTCCTTGCAGGAAGTGGCTCAGGGATACCGGCATAGCCCACCCTGCCTGCTCCCCAACATGCCACCTTCTGGCCCCCAAACCCTAGCCTGACTCAACTCCTCCTTATCTCTCCTCCCCAGCGTGGAACCCTCTCCCCATCCCTGCTATCTCCAACCGCCAGCCTAGCCTTTTCTTCTTAGTGTCCCTTGGGGCACAATGGCCACTGTCCCCTGGGAGCTGGCCTTCCGAGGGCATTGTAGGGGCAGGCGCTGGCACTGGCCATGCCGAGAGACAGCTGGTATTGTGGTGCCCATAATTAATGAGACAGCTCTGGCAGCTGCTCCCTAGCCCATGCCAGGGGCCTAGGCAAGCAGGAAGTAAAAATATTCCTGTCTTCGGAGGACGCCTGGCTGGTGAGGTCAGTGGTGGCAGCCCCTTAAGGACAAGAGGCATCCAAAGAAGGGAGGTATCCAGGGCCCAGTTCTGCTTTGTCCCACCTGGCAGCTTCCATGCCTCCCTGCCCTCTCTGATGGCCACACTCGCTGTCCGTCCATGGCTCTCTTTACCTGGAGATGGCCAGTCTTTCCTCTTGTCTGACTTCCATCCCTCCTGCCTCAGAGGAAGCCCTGCAGGTCCATGGATCTGAGGGATTAGTAGGTGATGCTCTTTCCTCCCTTCTTCAGTCCTTAGTATTCCTGTGGGCAGTGACAGCAGGGGAGAGATGGAGTGGGGTTATTAGTAATAATAATTCGCTCAGTCAGCATTCATTCCCCAGACATTCACAGACACGCGCCACACACTGTATTCGCATTGAGGATACAGCAGTGACCACGACACAGTTTACAGTGTAGGGGGAGACATTAATCTAATACACAGTGAATAGATATTTATCAAATGTGATAAGAAAACAGGAGTGCTTTACAGGAGAACTTGTTATTAACTGAGCTTGGCATTTAGTGTACATTTGTCCATTTAGTCCTCACAACTCCCTGTTAGGGAAGGAATATTAAATCCATTTTACAAGTGAAGAAACTGAGGTTTCTGAAGCTTTACTTAATTTGTCCACACTAGTGAGGGGCAGAGCTGGGATTGGAAACCCACATCTGCCTGACAACAAAACCCCAGCTCTTAACCCCTACATCTAAGCCCCTGGCGCTGATGTTGCTCTGCTATGTCACCTTGGGGAAGTCATTTCTCTCTAGGCCTTGATTTCTTGGCTGGCCCTGCTGGTGGCTATGGAATAGGAACTAGCCTCTGGCTCTGGGTGGCTCTCAGCAGGCCCAAGGACTGGGTTCTTTCAGGGGCAGAGGGCTGGTGTGGGGCCGAGAGGTATCACTGACACCCCATTTCCCCATGGCCCCATACCACCAGGCTGCGTGGCGCCTGTACTCCACCGATACGAGCCGGGCCTACCTGACGGCCACCTGGTACTACTATGACAGTATCCTCCCATCCTTCAGGTAGGTCCTGCTGGGGGATGGGAGTGGGTGGGGGACAGGCAGTAATGCCCTTTGAGGGCAGATGGCTGGGACTCAGCCCTGTAGGGCAGGGAGCGGGTGATGGCTCCCAAGGAGGCATTTTGGGCTGGCTCCACAGACCCTATATAACTCAGAGCCTGGAGTGTCCTCTGTCCCACTCTGCTATGTCCAGGGAAGGGTGGACACTGGACACAGGTGGTGGGTGAAGCCCTGCCCCACGGCTGAGGCCCGGCTCCTGGAGTGCCTGGCCGTCCGCATGCTCACCTGTAGGTGATGCCACCCACGACAGCGGTGCAGCCAGCTCATCAACCCTCAGTCTTCATTCGGGGACAGTGTTCGCCCTGACTAACACTGGCCTGGCACAGTGCAGCTGGTTGGAGAAAGTGTGGAATGGGCAGGAACATGTGTTCCCCATTTAGGTGCATGGCCCCACCCCACACTCCACACGTGAATATGTGCTCACTTTTACTATGCCAGGCAGTGGCCTCAGGGCTCAGAAGTGGGTCTGCCCCACTGGCCCAGGCCGGGCTAAGACTGAATGGGGTGGCTCCACGCAAGGGATTATTAATAGCATCACCAGGGTGCGTGTGGCCAGGTGGCTGGCCAAACACTTGGGCAGGAATAAAAACCACGGAGCTCGGCTCAGTCCCATGGGCAGGCGGGCAGCAAGTGCGCGGCTGGGCCAGGATGCTGTGCTCAGCGCTTCTGTGGGTGTCTGTTTTGCCTCATTAGTTCTCCAAGAGCAGCTGTTGCATGATCCCACTTGACCCTGCACCTGGCTCCCCCCTCCCCACTCCCTCCTAGTCCCAGGGGCTTCCCCAGGGAGGAGCAGGAGGGAAGGGGGCTCTCAGCATCACATCAGCACGCCCCCATCTCTCCACCTGGCAGAGGCAAGCTCCCACCTCAGAGACGGGGGTGTGGCTGGATTAGAACCAGCCTCTTTCTCCAGGAGTAGCCCCAAGGGCTCCAGGCCAGGCATGGGGAGTGGGGCAGGGGCTGCTTTGTTAGAAATATGATGTGTGTGAGGGGTGGTGGGGGTGGGAGGGTGGTCTGGGTCCTCTGGTAAGAGTCACAGAGCCTAGTGTGGAGATGCTAGGCTCCATGTGGTCCACTGGGCCTCCTACTCCCTGGACCTCAGTTTCCTCATCTGTACAATGGGACAGCAGGCCCAGGGGAGAGGGGAGATACTCTCCTTGGCTTATGGCAGCAGGAAATGGTCTGGAGAGTTAGGAAGAAGCTGCAGGCCCAAGATCCACTCTCCAAGAACCCAGTGGCAGGAGTGACTGCCATAGCGGAAGGAAGCCAGGCTAGCCACCCTCTCAAATCTCCCTCCTCAGCCTCAGTCTCCCCTTAAAATCCAGAGGCAGATCTGGAGGGTAGGGTTTCAGGGCTGCCGCAGGCCACTGGCGGGCACAGCTCCACACCAGGCAGTCGGCTCGGTGAGCAGAGTGAGCTGGACTCGAGCTCCTCCCACTCGCTGCCTTGTGGGGGTGCCCTTGAGTTGTGCCCAGCCTTCACGACCACGCCTGGCATCCCGGAGGACTCCCAGGAACTAAATATAGAAAGGTGGGGAGGAAGGCCAGTCTCTCCCACTCCCCACCCTGTCCCCGCCTGGCCCGGGGCATCAAGGAGCACCTCCAGAGAGGCGGGCCTGGCAGGGTCTGAGCTCAGGGGCTCCGCGCCCACTGGGTGAGAGGGTGGCGCCAGGACAGGACCCTGCCTGCTGCTGATGGCGCCCTCTCCTGCAGAGAGCTGGCCCTCTTGTTTGAGCACGTGCAACGGGCCCGCAACGGGGGCCTACGGCCCCTGGAGGTGCGGCGGGCGCCGGTACCCGACGGAGCGCCCTCCCGTTACCCGCCCGTTGCCACCTGCCACCGGCCGGGCAGCGCCTCCTTCTGCCCTGGGGAAAGGTAGGGGCCCCCTGGGGCCGCCACCTCCTCTTGCTCTTCCTCCTCTTCTTCCATCCTCTGTCTCATCCTCTCTCAGACCTGCCTCCAGCCAATACATGGGTGTCTGGGCCTGTTTTGGGGACTCCTAGGCCTTGTTATGAGGCCTGGGTGGTTGTCATCAGAGGGCCAGACAGGTACAGACTGAGGGCCTCCCTGGAGAGGCCAGGCTGGACTCACCTTTTTGTCACCTGGGGCTCCAAGAGTCTGAGTGGGAGAGATGTCCACACCACCCGTCCCATCACCTCCTCTGTTCATACCATTGTCCTCTTTCTTTCTTTGTTTCCACGTCCCCTCACTCTTCCATCCCTGCACCCCCATCCCTCCTGGGAAGCTGGAGAGAGGAGGAGGCCGCTGGCCACAGGTGCTTACGGCTCAGGTAATCGTGGGCACCGCCCTGGGGTGTGAGGGCAGGGACCCCCTCCCCATCATGTTGCTCTGGGAGGGGCTGGACTGAACTCGCCTCTTGGAAATGAGATTCCGGCTGGAAAGAGAGCTCTGTGACTAAGACCGTGTAGGACCTGCGTAAACGTGACCAGCAACTAATGCTCTTGTCTCGCGTGACCCTTGTTCATTGCTGAGCCCATGGGGTCCTCCTGGGACTCTGTTTGCATCCTTACTAAGGTCACTTTGGTGCTCTCAACAGTGTCTTCCCCTTGACCTGTCTTTCCTGGAGCTTTTGCATCTTGAAAGAAGAACAAAGAGAAAACGTGCTTACCCCCGCAAACGTTCACAGATACAGGAGTTTCAGGCATATTTGGCTAAAGGAAACCGTCAAATTAGAGCATGGTCAAGTGGCTGCTCTTCTGGAGGTTTAGCTTTGAGGTCAAGGGTTCCATCCGCTTCATTTCTCCCCCATCCTTTACCCATCTCTTTGTGTCATCTTCACACGTCCTCCTGGAACCAGCCAGGGGGACATCCGGGTCTTGAGCCTCAGTGTGGTTCTGAGCCCCAGGCCGGGAGCAAGGGCTGGGAGATGAGAGGGAGGAGGTGCCGTGGAGCTTGCCTCTGCCACCTGATGCTGTGTGTCCCTGAGGAAGTCATCAAGTCACTCTGAACCTCTGTGTCCTGGCAGAAAATTAGTGACATTCAGGCTGATCAGGGGCTCTGGGTTCTCTGAGCTTCTGGACTGGAAAGGTCTGGGGAGGCGTTCTGGTGCAGAGGATGCAGGGAGCGGCAGCCTTCCCTGTTCTGGGCCAGGGCTGGACAGGAAATGGGTAGAGAGGGAGAGCCCCTCAGGTCTGAGACTGGGGGCATGGGACGCAGGACCAGCCAGGCCAGGCTGGGAACTCCCCGGTAGAGAAGTTCATGGTGAGGCCTGACCCCAATTCTCCGTCACTGCCCGAGGGCACCGTTGTTACCCGCATTCCTACCAAGCCACTGTTTATAGGCAGAAACTCAGAAGTTTCCCCATTCTAGCAACCCTGCCCAGGGGTTGACCTGAGCCAGGGACCTCTGTAGCTTCCTGTTCACTCTGGTCTCACCTTGCCTGAACAGGCAGGCACTGGAAACAGAGGTTAGCCAGGAGCCAACACCTGTACCGCCCTCCCCAACTTCTCTGGGTCTCCGAGTCCCCCAAGGCCCAGGAACAGATTACTGCTAGGGGCTTGGCCAGTACTAACTCCCAGCCTTGTGTCTGTCTGCCCTGGAGGGCTTGTGTGTCTAGGACTCATGGTGACGGTGATGGAGTGTCCCTTCTTTCCAGGGACTTAGGAGGCCAAGCTACCACTGCTAGATTCATCACCACACTCAGGCCAAATGGCCATATCCTTAACCATGGCTGTCTTGCCCCTATGGGGTAGGTACCCTACCCAGGATAGCCCCCCTCCCCAAACACACACATATACACTCCTGGTTGGTCATACCTCTGGTGGTGCTGAGGATGGACCCAGATCGAGCACGTTCACAGGAAGTGTAGCTAAAGTAGCAGGACTTCCTGGGGGCTAGCATTGCCAGGCAGTGACTCCCCTAATTAGGGTTTTGCGATGAGTTTCTGAAAGCATGGTCTCCTGACCTCCTGCATCAGCATCCCATGGGGTGTTTGTTCAAATTGCAGATACCTGGACCTCTCCCCAAGCCCTCAGGATCAGAATCCCTGGAGAGAGGCACAGGCTTCTGCATATTCAACACGCTCCCTAGGAGATCCGTATGCAAAGTGTGAGAACCTCTTCTTCCTGGGGATGGGGCTGGAGGACGATTTAGGTGGGGATTCTTCTCTCCCACCAGCCACAGGAGGCCGGCCCCATCCTGGCAGTTCCCCACACCCTGCCCATCGCCCCTTTCCCACTAACCTCTGTTCGTGTCTTGTTCTCAACTTTCCAGCCAGATGTTTAATAATAAACGGAGTTTCTTTCGGATCCACGCCAGCTGGAGACCGAGGTACCTCCTCGCCTGCTCCTCCGGTCCCCACTCCTCCTTGCCCCACCGACTTCAGGGGCTGGAGAGGGGGACAGGATGGGCCAAGGACAAGGTGCATGTGCCTGCCGCCTGCCGTCTGCCTCGGGGCCCCGATGAGCCCCTCGCCTTTCTGGGGATGCCTCTGCCAGGGCTGGGGCATGGGCCCGGTGTGCCAGGAGGGGCACTTGCAGGCACCGTGGGGATGCGTGCTGGCTTTGCCACTGACCCCCTGTGTGATCTTGGCCAAATCGCTTCCCCTTTTTGGACCCCAATTTCCCATCTGTGAAATGGGCAGGTTGAACTAGAGGCTCTCTGAGGGTCTTTCCCACTCTGACTTTGGCCAGGCCTTGGGTTTAGCTCCCTGTCTGCCTGCTGGCCACCTAGGGACCTAGCAGGTGCCTGAAGGAGCTGGGATTGGCACCTCCTTGGCTAACTCCAGAGCCCCAGCTCTTTTGGCTGCATCTCCACTGTATTACTTGGTACCTGCCCTGTGCCAGGCCCTGCTCTGTGCACCAGGGATGCAGAGATGAATAAAACATGGTCCCTGGAGACTTGCAAAGAGTAATTGCAGTTCGGTGCCATGAGTGCAGCAAAAGGAGGGGGCAGAGGGGCTGTGGAGCTTGGGTGAGGCACGCAACCCAGGGGAAGGGTTGAAAGCAGCTGGTGGCAGGGAGGGCACTGCAGGCTGAGGAAGCGGCAGGGACCTGGGCAAGGAGGTGAGGGAGAGAGGGAGCACACAGCGTGGGGAAAATCGGCAGCCCAATGCAAGCTTCTTCCTGTTGGTGCGCCTGGCAGCCTGGGCTCACGGGGTCTTTGGTTTCCCAAAGGTGCCTCTGGAGCCTTGCGGGTTGGTAAGCTCAGAGCTGGGAGATGCATGAGAGCTCCTGGCTGCCCGTGTGTGCTTCTGCCGAGAGGCAGTCTTTCTCAGAAACGTGGGTTCTGGACCACAGCCTAGCCACTACTCGCTAGTCACGCGTCCTTGGGTGAATCACTTGACCCCTCTGTGCCTCAGTTTCCTCAGATGGAAAATGCAGATGATAATAAGATCTCCTTCTACTGAAACTGTGCCTACCTCCTAAAAATGTTGGCCTCATTTGACTTGGCATGTTGGCCAGTGAAGATCTTACTTACTCGAAAAAATAGCTTGGAAACCATGGCTATAGGCAGTGGGGACACACCAAAGGGTTAAGCTGAGGAGTCTCTGGGCCAGACCTGCCCCTTTGCAAGCCTCCTTTGGCTGTGGAGGGCATGAGAGGCAGGAGGGCACAGCCAGGGCAGGGCCAACAGGGAGGCTGTTTGCACTGTCCCTGCAGAGAGGGTTGGTATGTGGCATCAGACACATCTGCCTCTGTTTCCCCAAGAACTTGGCCTTGGCTGGCAGATGATGAGTCAGTTCTTAGAGAAATCCCTTGTGGTAGTGAGTACAGGGCTTGGGTCGAGCAGGGCAGCCAGAGCTTGCCCTCCCCCTAGGACAGTCAAGCCCACCCATCCCTCTCCCAGCCACCAACAGACTCTTAGAGCAGAGTTCCTCAATCTTGGCACCATTGCAACCTTGGGTTGGATAATTCTTTGTGGGTGGGGCTATCACATGCAGGGTAGCATGTTTAGCAGCCTCCCTGGCCTCTACTTACTAGATGCCAGCAGTACCCCACATGTGACAACCAAAAATGTCTCAGGCACTGTCACATGTCCCCTGGGGGGCAAAATTGCCCCCAGTTGAGAAGCAGTGCTCCAGACTCTATCCTGATTGCTTGTCCCAGAAAAAGAACAAGTCCCTGAAGTCAGAGAAAACTGGGTTCCGGTCCTTGCTCCGTCCCATAGGGGCTCTGTGACTTTGGGCAAGTCATTTCACCTCTTTCCTTATTTATACAGTAGGAATGGTAAAGATGGAGCCTGCCACACGCAGTGGCTGAGAGAGCTGAAAGAGCGGAGGCAGACAGGACCCTGCATGTTCTAAGGAGCCAGGGAAGGGAACGAGATTTGGGATGTCCATGTGTGCCAGGTTTCTTTCCATTTTCTCTGAGCTTTTACACTCAGGGAGGCCGATGTATGCCATTTTCTGGGTCCTGCCAAGGGAGCTGGAATCCAGGGCCACTCCTGGGAAAACAGTGCCTTCTCGCATTAAAATAGGAGCCCATGATCTCTGGCCTGAAAATTACAGAACCCCGTAAACCAGGCCAGAACCTCTCTCAACCATCGCAGAATCAGAGCTGGAAAGGGACCTTTCAAGGCCTCTAGTGCAAGCCCCAGACCCCTTCCTCCAAAAGTGCTGCTGAGTACAAGCTCAGCCTTGCTTGCACACTTCTCATGACAGGGAGATCATCCCCTTCCCCAGAACACCACTGGAGCCTTATGTGCTGGGTGCGGGGATGTGAAGTCCAGGCCCTTGAGCAAAGGGTCAGGGCCTTCTCCACCCCCCTCTCTTCCTCTCCTCCTTGGAGGAGTGTGGGATGGGGTGAGGGTTTGCACGGACTAGGTGGGGTTGGGGTGCTTGCCGGCATGAGGAGGGCCCAAGGAATGGCTCTGCGGAGGAAAGTTTGGGAGAGCCAACCTCAAACTTTGATTGGGATCTTTGGGATGTGTTGGTGGGACCGTGGCCAGCAAAGAGCATGCTGGATTCGGGAGCTATCCCCATCCCTCCCTCTTGATATCCTCAGGGCCCCCATCCTTGACATATAAACCTCTCCCCTCTGGGCAGAGGCCCCCACCCCAAGGATGGCCCTACCTCCTGCCACCTTCCCGAAGGTGCCCTGGTTTCGAGGTCCCCTCACCTCAGCACCTTGGCTCTCTACCCCGACTCCATGCCCTGGGCATGGGGACCCCAGCTCCCACCCAGCACCGAAACCAGAACCTCTCCTCTGCTCAGCCCTGGATCTGGAAGTCCCTGAGAATAGGTGACACAGACTTCTCCCCCAACCCCTGCCCCACCTCAGGCCTCCTCCAAGGCTGGCCGGTGCTCTCCTAAGCCAGGGCTGGTGGAGACCACTCCCTGCGGGCACCTTCTGCAGGGGTCCTCCAGTGGCAGACCACAGCGGGGGAGGCAGCGGTGACACCAGAGGGCATGGGAGGGAGGGTGTTTGCATAGGTCCTATTCAAACAGTGATAGCATGGTCCGTGAACCTCTTGGACACAGAGTTACTCTACCAGGTACTGGTTAACCGGGGCCTGTCCTGGGGAACCTGAGGCCTCCCCTGACCTGTCTTTTTCCAAGGTTTGGGGATGCGGTGGAGAGTTGGGTGTGGGAAGGGAAGTCTAAGCGTGTACAGACACGCACATGTGTGTTCACATGCTCACAGATATGTGTAGTGCTGTTGAACTGGGAGTTTAGTAGGCAGTATAGGGGTAGAGCTTTAAGGGGTAATCCAAGACCTCCCAGGACATCAGTCCAGGCGGGCAGAGCTCAGGCTGGGGAGACCACAGAAGAACAGGTTATCAAATATAGACCCTTACTGGGACAGCAGGCACCAGGCATGTCCTGGGCATACTTGTGGGCCCAGCAGCTAGACTCACAGGGCCAAGGCCCTGAGCAGGCCATCACACCACACACTGCCAGGGGCACCATTGCATGGAAGTCTTTGTGTGATGGAGACCTCATTTGGCAGTGCACTGCCTGCACAGCTGTACCAGGTCCTAAAGCCCTGACCTGACCAATGTGGGATCAGGTAGCTGCAGCAGGGAATGGAGGAAAATATCAATTGACACATGTACATACTGCCAACATATGATATGTATACACACTGGTGCCTGTGCACCTACACTGTCACGTGCTTGCACGTGCACACACACACAGACCCTCGACTCCACACAGCCTGCCCCTGTGCACAGTGGGGGGACTGGAGGCCTAGCTCAGTGTGCACGGCCAGGTGAGCTGCCGACCCTCAGCAGCCTGTCTGTGCCCAAAGGGGTCGCCACCTCCACCCTCTGCCCACTCACCTGCGCCAGGCCCAACTCCCCTGTCCTGTCTGTCTCTCTGACTCCCTTCTTGGGTTTCTCTCAGTCCTTTCACTCTGACATCTGTCTCCTGTGTACCCCTTATCTGTCTGGGCAACTATGGGTGGGAGGTAGGGGTGGGAAAGGGGTCTGCTCCAACTGACACTGAGTCAGCTTCTTGTGGGAGTCAGGGCCCCCCTCACCACACCCTGTCCCATCCCAGGAAGTCTCCTTGTGGTGGGGAATCAAGACCCAATAGCCACCCCTAGGTCCTAAGTCAGCTTTGTCCCCACTCACCCCCCACCCCCAGCTCTGGCTAACTTGGCTCTCTCCCCACCCTGCCCTGCCCTGCCCTGCCAGCAGTCGGATGGGCATCAAAGACCGCATCCGCATGGGCAGCTCCCAGCGGCGGACAGGTCCTTCCAAGCAGCACCTGGCACCTCCGCCGATGCCCACCTCCCCGAGCAGTGAGCAGGTGGGCGAGGCCAGCAGCCCCACCAAGGTGCAGAAGAGCTGGAGCTTCAATGACCGCACTCGCTTCCGGGCCTCTTTGAGACTCAAACCCCGAACTTCTGCTGAGGGTGAGCCCCTGGGGGTCTGGGGCCCAGGACCCACTGAGGGTGGCAGGGGTGGGGACAGTCTGGGCTGAAGGCAGAAAGATCTGGCTCTAGTCTCAGCTCTGCAAGTGATTGACCACCTCTGGGCACCAGTCTGCAAGATGGGCGTCAGACCGAGAATCAAAGGGAGGCTGGCATTTGGTAGTGGTTAGGAGCACAGGCTTTGGGGCCAGGCTGCCTGGATATAAGCCCTGGCTCTGTCACTTATCTTGGACAAGTGACCTAATCTCTCTGGGCCTCATTCTCCTTATTTGTAAAATGGGGACAATGACAGTGTCTACTTCATAGGACACAGGATGATTGTGAAGATTAAATGAGATAACCCACAGAAGGTGAACAGGAGACTGTTGAGGATATAGAAAGTGCTCAGCAAAAGCTAGCTGGTGACAAGTGTGCCTTGGAAGGAGCAGGAGCCCCTGCTTGATAGCCCTGACTGTGTACACTCCACACTGGATTATCTCATTTCCTTCTCCCAGCGACCCCGGGAAGTGGTTCTGTTTTCATCCCCACTTTACAGACAGGGACACTGAGATCTCCCAGCCCATACGTGGCAGAGCTGCTATCCTCAAGCAGGTCCGTCCAGCTCCAAAGTCCATGCACTCTGCCTGCCCCTCCTCATCCAGCCTGGCCTGAAGACATGAAGGCATGGACCTGGTGGGGTCACTTTTCTGAGTTCTAGCTCTGCTCGAGACTTGCACTGTCTTGGGCAAGATCCTCCCCACCCTCCCCATTCCTCTGTGCCTCAGTTTCCTCTTCTCAAATGACCCCTGGGTCATTTCAACCAAGTCCCCAGAAGACCTCTCCCAGCTTTGACATACTTTATGTCCCTGGTGGAGAAAGGTCGGGGTGAGTGGACAAGGATGGAAGATGGGGACAGGAAGCCCCTTTAGCCTTGGAGGGAGGGGATCCAGCCATGCTGTCTCTGCCTGTGCTGTGTCAGCCCTCATGATAATGCTGGCTGACAATTCAGAGTTCAGAGAACCCGCAAAACCACTGGGAGGTGCTGACCCATAGAAGCCTGGGCATGGCTGGTGCCTGGGACCACCCTTTACTGTGCTGGAAGCTCTCTGGTCTCCTGCTCCTTGCTCCTGTGGGGCGAAGATAGCATCACCTCTGTGCAGCTCAGGGCACCAGCCTCAGAGAGGCTGTTTGTCTTACCCAGGGCACAGGGCCTTCCCCAGTTGCAGATCTGGGTATGGGATCCAGCCCCATGAGCTGCAGGATAAGACTGTATGGCTGGGTACATGTGAAGGCATCAAATGCCTTTTCTCTGGGGCTCACTGTTCTGCATGGTGGGACCAGTGGGGCTTCCTCCAGGACTTTGTGCAACAAATTTGCCCCGGCCAGATCAGCTGTGCCCTAAACTAGCTCCTGCTCACTTGGCCACAGGCAGATGTTTGCCCTGTCTGGCATAGGGGCAGATGGGCATACAACACACTGGGGTTTTCTGCCCTGGGTAGGGTAGTGAGGGGCAGCAGCCAGGGAGGCAGGAGCCTGGTCTGCCCCCAGGAAGCTTCTGGGCCCTCTCTGGGCCTCTCTCTTCTTATTGAGGCCTCTGATGGTGGCTTGGCATGTGTTGGTGGTGGTGGGGTTGAGAGTGGACCACTTGGGCCGTCTCTGTCTTTTCAGAGGGCCCCTCAGAGGAAGCAGCAGAGGAGAAGAGCTACCAATGTGAGCTGACGGTGGACGATGTCATGCCTGCTGTGAAGACAGTCATCCGCTCCGTCAGGTGAGACCAAGGCTTGAGGTGAGCACCCGCTCTGTCTGCCACCCACTGCTTCCCATCTGGGCCTGCCCTCGTGGCCAGGCCTGGCTTGCTCCCGGCGTGCCAGCTGCTGCCCTCCTAGAGTGCAGGTGGGGCGGGGGAGGGTGGCATCTGGCTCCCAGCAGGGTTTGCTGTGACCGTCATGTCTAGAGGGCCTGGCTCCAGCAGGGTGGCGGGAACAGCTGCCCATCACGGTCCCTCTCCTCGCACGCACAGTGTCCTCCCGGTCACTCCTTGCTCTGCCTCTCCTCTTCCCTCCCCTGCCTCTGGGTCTTGCCTGCACCAGCCTCTCTTCTTTCTCTCTCCCCGGCTGTGTGTCAGTGGCTGCCTGTCTCTCCAGGGGCCCTGTCTTGTCCACTTTTCCCTGCATCGCTCTGTCTCAGTCTCATCTTTTTGTCCCTCTGTCTCAAACTCTCTCTCTTCTTGGGTGACTTGGCCTCAGTCTGTCTATTTCCCCCAGGACTTCTAGAGCAGTGCTTTTCAAACCACTGGTTGAGATAGTTTGAAATCAACTTGGTGGAATCAAGTTAGTGAGCTCTGATCAGCATATATATATATAGAGGAATACGGTACGATATATATATAATAGAAAGTATCAGAATGCATCTTTCATATGAAGGGTAAATTATGAAACTTAGACTACAGTTATCTGTGCATGTGTGTGTATATACTTGTTTATTACATAAAATATAATTCTTATGGTAGGTCTTGGTCCAAAAAGTTTGAAAGCCCTTGCTCTACTGGCTGTCTCCCTGCCTCGACAATTAAGAGGGGACCAGAGTCTTCTGAGCCCTTTGGCCATGGCCTAGGCATGGCTGTGGCCCCCAAGCTCCTTGGTGTGGAGTCCTGGCTTAGTCTGTCTCCAGCCTGCAGCTGTAGCTACAGAGACCCCCTGATCCCTGGCCTTATGGACTCACCTCTCTTCCCTGGCGGATGCACCTGCCCACAGCCTCTGCTGTTTGTGTTCCTTTTATTTTTTAATCTTTTTTTTTTTTTTTTGAGACAGAGTCTCACTTTGTTGCCCTGGCTAGAGTGCCGTGGCATCATTGTAGCTCACAGCAACCTCAAACTCCTGGGCTCAAGCAATCCTGCCTCAGCCTCCTGAGTAGCTGGGACTACAGGCATGTGCCACCATACCCAGCTAATTTTTTCTATATATTTTAGTTGGCCAATTAATTTCTTTTTATTTTTAGTAGAGATGGGGTCTCACTCTTGCTCAGGCTGGTCTCAAACTCCTGACCTTGAGTGATCCTCCCGCCTTGGCCTTCCAGAGTGCTAGGATTACAGGCATGAGCCACCGTGCTTGGCCTTTTGTGTTCCTTTTAACATCAGAGTCTGCTGCGTACCCCCCATCCTCTCCCCAGAGTCTAAGGCCACTTCTCACCCCCTTTTCATACAACCTGTCTCTTCCCTCCATGTGACCAGCATCTGGGAGTGCCAGAGCTGCCACCTGACCTAGGTCAGCTCTCCTTGGCCACCCCACACACCCCTCACACCCAGCATGCCCCTAGCCTGCTCCTCCTCCTGGGTCCACACTTCAGGCAGTGGCACCAGAGCCCACTCTGTTGCCCAGGCCCTGGGAGTCATCCTGGGCTCAGGAAGCCTTTCAGTCCCACCTCCTGAGTTGCTCAAAGCTGTCCCCTGTCTCCACCACAAGGACCCACACCCAACATATAACATCCCCTGGACACCCTTTCCCTGAAGACAACTCTCAGCCCAGGCGCTTCATTGTGTGCTCTGTAGAAGCGGTCATGCCAAAGCAGAATAAATGACACACACACACACACACACACGTCCAGGGATTAAGGGCTCTTCAAAGGACACCTGTAGCCTCCTTGTCAAGGCCTATGTCCCTCCTGTCTTCTCATATGCATCCCCTGCCTCCATGGATTAACCCTTTCTATCACCTCCCTGTTGCTGCTGCTCTGGGGTAGCAAGGCTGGGAGACCTGGCAGAGGCTGTTTGTGGTGACCCAGACAGGAGTTGCCCTGGTGCTGGACAAAGGGGTAGCAAAGGGAGAGAGAGGGGCTGGAAACAAATCTGCTGCTTGAACAGGCCCTTCCCTCTGAGACCCCCTCTCCCGGCAGGATTCTGAAGTTTCTGGTGGCCAAAAGGAAATTCAAGGAGACGCTGCGACCTTACGACGTGAAGGATGTCATCGAGCAGTACTCTGCAGGGCACCTGGACATGCTGGGCCGGATCAAGAGCCTGCAGACTCGGTGGGTGCACCAGTCCCCAATGCAAGAGCAGAGTAGAGAGGCAGTGGTCCCAGCCCAGCAAGAAGTCTGTGGACCAGAGCCCTGAGCCCCCTCAAAGTCCCCTACTGAAGCTGGGGTTTCTGGCCTGAGCCAGGTACCTGGCTTGTAGCACTAAGGCCAGAACCCGCAGGGCACCCGGCTGGGGGCTTTGTTTAGAATGATTGTTTCCTGGACCTCAAATAATAGGTATAAAATAATTACTGACCTCCCATCTCCCAAGGGGATAGGCAAATTGTTCTCAGTGCCCACTTCTTGCCTCTGGAATCCTCTCACATCGCTTCTCTAGGCCCAGCAGTAAGAAATGATCCTCATACCAAGATCCAAGTCAGCTATGCCTTGCCTTTCTCTCCAGGCCTGTATTTTCACTGCCCGCTCATTCATTTATTCACTCAAGAGATAATCTCTGGGCATTTACTACTTACCTGATAGCAGGGATATGGTGGAAAGCAAAATAGAGTCCCTGCCCTCATGGAGTTTTCATTCTAGCAGGAAGAGAACAGATGATAAATAAGAAAAACTAGAATACCTCAGATGGTAATAAATACTAAGGAGAAAAATAAGGGTTAAAGTATTGAGGTTTGCGAATTTAAATAGGTGAGAAGGTGATTTGAGACCAAATGGAAGGAGAGGGTACAACCAGACCTGTGGCTGTTTAGGTGAAGGGTTTCCAGAGGGAATGGCACGAGATGGCTGTTCATCCAGGATGAGCTACAGGCACTGGAGGGAGGGCTCTGTGCAAAGGACTGCTAAGATCTGAGTTATCTTTTAAAAGGCCCACCTGGGTGCTGTGTAGACTGTAAGGAAGGAAGGGTGAAAGCAGGGAGACCAATGAAGAGCCTACTTCAGACATCCAGATGTGGGGACTTGGACTAGGGTTGCAGCTGTGAAAGTGGAAAAAGTGGCCAGATTCTAGGCATATTTTTGTAAGTAGAGTTGACAGGGTTTTCTGATGGGGGGGGGGTGGTAAGAAAGAAGAGTTCAAGGATGAAGCCAGGATTTTTGGCTTGAGTAAGAGGAAACCCCGAGTTGCCATTTATTGACATGGAGAAGGTAATCCGTGGAGCAGGTTTCGATCGGGAGAATTGGGAGTGTGCTGGGTTTATGATGCCTGTCAGACATCCAAGTGGAATGTGTTGGTCTCCTACATTAATGTAGGAGTGTGAATTCCAGAGGAGAGGTCTGGGATGGAGATGGCAGTTTGGTGCCAACAGCCTATAGAGGAATTGAAAATCAAGGAACTGCAGATGTCACCCTAGTGAGTGAGAGTAAACAGAGAAGAGGTCCCAGGACTGAGCCTTGGGTCCTGTAATGTTTAGAGGTTGTGGAGATAGAGGAGGATCAGCCAAGGAGACTGGGAAGGAGAGGTCAGGCAGGGAGGAAAAGAACTGGGACAGGATGGTGTTTTGGAATCCAAATGAAGAAAGTGTTTGCAGGAAGAAGTGGTGATCAGATGTGTCGAGTGCTGCTTATAAGTCAGGTAAAATGAGGACTGAGAGTTGATCATCAGATTTAGCAACACGGAGTTCATTCCGGAGCTCGACAGCGGTAGTTTTGGTGAAATGGTGGGGGCGAAAGCCTGACTGGAGTAGGTTTGAAAGAGAAAGGGAGGAAAGGAACTGGAGGTAGGGGGTAGAGACAACACTTTCAAGAATTTCGCTGCAAAGGAGAGCTGAAAACGAAAGGCGAGATCAGCTGGAGCCTTGTCCGCTTCATAACTCGCGTTCCCACGTGTCCCCCTCCCCCTTCCCTGGCCCAGCATTTCCCACGGCTCTTCCACCAGGCAGTTGCTTTCCTTGTCATGCTTGTGCGTGGTGCCTGCGCTCGGCCAGTGAAGGGCCCCAAAGCAGGGGCCGGTCCCTCCGCACTCGGCCTCCATTCGGCAGGGCGCCGGCGCCCGCCCTTCCCTCCGGCGCAGGCTGTGTCTTCGCCTTCAGGGGGCGCCCCAGGATTCTCGCGGAAGGGAGGGCGGCGTGTCTGGGCCACTCGACGGTTCCCTTTCCCCACAGAGTGGACCAAATTGTGGGTCGGGGGCCCGGGGACCGGAAGGCCCGGGAGAAGAGCGACAAGGGGCCCTCAGACACGGAGGCGGTGGACGAAATCAGCATGATGGGCCGCGTAGTTAAGGTGGAGAAGCAGGTGAGTGTGGGATGGAGTTTCACTGGGGTGGTCGTCGACCGAGAAGCTCTGGAGGGCTACGGGGACCAGACAAGAGGAGGGCGCGCTTCTCAGAGCAGCAGCCCTGCGCATGGGCCGGGAAGGCGCCGGAGTCCCCTGTCCCGCCGGGCGCCGCCCCACAGACGAGCCCCGCGTCCCGGGACCGCCCGCTCCAGCCACAGCATCCGGATAAGCCCGCCCTCGCCGGCTAGGCCTCGCCCCTAGGTTGCTGCTGCCTCAGATAAACCCTTCTAAATTCCCCCTGCTCCATTCAAGTCCGCCTCTCGGTCGTCCGACTGTCTGACGGACAGTCCCAACCGATCACAACTGAATTTCGCCCGGGGATTGTGCCCCAGCTTCCCAGCTGCGCCCCTCTCTCCCCCGGAGCCGCACGCTCAGTCCGCGCTCGCGCCTCCCAGAGAAGCCCCGCCCCGCCCCGCCCACGGCCAGCCCCCCCCGGACACCGGCCCCGCCCAGGTCCCGCCCACCCACGCCGGCCCCCGCCCAGGTCCCGCCCACCCACGCCGGCCCCGCCCATGCCGGCCGCGCCCCGCCTCCAGCCGCGCCCCGCCTCCAGCCGCGCCCCGCCCCCAGGTGCAGTCCATCGAGCACAAGCTGGACCTGCTGCTGGGCTTCTACTCGCGCTGCCTGCGCTCCGGCACCTCGGCCAGCCTGGGCACCATGCAAGTGCCGCTCTTCGACCCCGACATCACCTCGGACTACCACAGCCCTGTGGACCACGAGGACATCTCCGTCTCCGCACAGACGCTCAGCATCTCCCGCTCGGTCAGCACCAACATGGACTGAAGGGTGTCTCGGGGGCGGGCAGCACACGGCCAGCCCCTCGGCCTGGCGCTCGGACCCGCCCTCCGAGGCCTCCGGACTCCTCCGTACTTGAACTCGCTCCCTCGCGGGGAGAGAGGCCGCACGCAGTATTGAGCTGCCTGGGTGGGCGAGATACCCGCTGTGGGGCCTGCTCCCCCACCTCAGGAGCGTGAGATGCCAGGCCGCGCCGAGGGGCCGCAGCGGGGCTGTCGGGCCGTCCCGTGCCCTGCCGCTCCGTCAGGGCCCGACATGACCCGCCCGGCAGGGGCACTGCCCGGGGAGTGGGAGCGGGGCGCTGGGCCCTGGGCCCTGACCCAGCCCCAGCTTCCAGCTATGCAAGGTGAGGTCTCTGGCCCGCCCTTCGGACAGAGCAGGGAAGCCCTCCCGCCAAGTCCTCGCCCCACTTGGGGGTGGGCCCAAGATGCCCCTACAGGTACCCACAAAGCACAGGACCCTGCCACAAGGCAGGTGGGCACCATATATGCAAACTATGTTAAATATGCAACTTTGAGGACCCCCATGGGGTCGCTCTGCCCCTCCCCCATTGGGAGACGGCCTCCAGCAGTAGCTGGTCTCAGGCTGCTTGGCCATAACCCTAACCCCATTCTCTGGCTTATCACCCGTCCCCACCCAGCATGGGGCCTGTTTCTCCCTGCCCTCTCCCAAGGGCAGTGCCTGGGCCTTCCCATTTGCAGGTGTCACCTCCCAGGGGCTCCCCCTTCCTGCTCGATGTCCACTCTTCCACCTGGCTCTCCAGACACCTTTGACATTCAGCACAAATTTCTATATTTTCTCTAAACCTCCCAGACAGTACTCCATGGATGGTCACACAAACATGGCCTCTTAGTGTCTCCAGACATGCAGAAAGCCTCCCACACACTGACACATACAAGCACACACACTTGGAGACGTGAGCACAGGGCCACTCAGCCTTTCCTGGGCCTCTACAGCTGACGTCAGTGCACTGGCCTTGTAGGATGGTGTCCACTGAGAGGAAGCCCCCCACTCTATCTGGGCAGGAGAAGGAGCTTTGAAGTGACCTCAGGTTGCTTCAGTCCCCACCCAGAGCTTTACCAGATCCTCTTCCTCAAGATCTCCTCTCTGGTCCAGGAGCCCTAACTGCTGCCTCTGCCTGGCCCTGAGGGCCCTCCTCAGTGTCCCCACAGCACAACTTGGGCCTAGGCCTCTGGGGGATGGACACCACTGAAGAGGCCGTAGGCCTGCCTCTATCCAGGCTTGCCCCTTCCTAGTTGCTCTAACTCCCAAAGAGAATAATAATGCACCTAGCAGCTATACCTGCTGCGCATCTGCCTTTCACATGCACTGTCTGACCTTTCTCCATACCCCACTTTTCACTTCAGCTGGCAGCCCTGCATCCTGGCATAAGCCTCCATCCACTCCAGGTCCCCAGGAACACTTTCGTATCCCTACCCCTTTGTTCCTCTTCTGCAAAGCCAGTGCAGGTAGCAGGAGGATGAGGGGTAGTGGACCAATGGCAACCCTCTGTGGCTGAGGCCAAGCTGCCTGCATCTCATACTGGGGACCTGCATGCACCAGCACCAGGACTTGGGTTGGATCTTGCTCAGCCCCATGGTGCCCAGCCTCTGCCCCAACATGCCCTCTGCATGTGACCATCATGCCCTGGATGGAGCTATCCTGGCTCACCTCACCACACTGCACTGTCCCCAGAGAGCCACCCCTCCATCCCTTCAGAGACAGAGGTGTGGCGAGGAGCAGGAGAATGGGATTACCCTATGACCAAAGGAGACATGGGAAGAAGCCCTCCCTCCTTCCATGATCGAGGTTCCCCCACCAACCCGGTTCTGGGATATGCAAGTACCTCACTTTGTTAACTTATTAACTTATTGGTTTCATTAAAGTTTTCAGTAGGAGGTGGTTGGTCTTGGTTTTGTTCAGTGGCTGTGGGGTGAGGCTCCTGATGTGGGGGTAGGGACAAAATTTGTGAACAACAAAAACCCAACACCATATGGCCTAAGCAAAAAATGAAACTTATTGGCCCAGAGAACTGAAGAGTCCAGGGGATAGATTTGGCTTCACACACAGCTAGATCTAGATGCTTGAATGTGTCAGAAGGCTGGCTGTTTCCCATCAGCCTCCCTTTACAGCAGGCTGGCCTCTCACAATGACCAGTGAAAATGAGTCCCACATTCCTAATAGTTTGTATCAGTAGGGTCCAGTCAGAAAAACAGAAACACCACTAGGTTTTTCAGCAGAGAGAATTTACTCTAGGGAATGGGTTACACTGATGTAGGAGGGTTGAAAGAACAAAAAGAGAACACTGTGATGACAGAGAAAATGACTGCAGGATGCAGCTACCACTCCTAGAGCTGCAGGAATATAGGCAAGAGGTTGGGCTTATCAGAATCCACAAGCTTGCAGAGGGGGAGCCCTGGAGTTCTGGGGCTCAGATCTGAAAAGGGGGTGTTCTTTGGCTGGTGCTAGTAGTTCTGAGGGGGTATGAGGCTTATCTGGGAGTACAGGAACAAAGCTGAAGCCAGGGATCAGCTATTGCCACCTGGCTGTTACTGATAAGGATAGGAAGCAAAGGAGGAAGACAGTCTCCACTTCTCCTGCCTCCCAGTGTTCCCCTCATGCCCCTTATTGTGAAAGCCAGCTAACAAAAGAGTAATGAGGGATGTGGTTTGCAGAGTCCCAGCCCCAGTACCAGAGTTAGAAGGCTGCTCTTGGAACTGCAAGACAATAGTTTCATAGCCAGCACAGACCACGCCTTTGGACACTCGGTATTCATACACATCAGCCCACCTGTACGTTAACCTCCGTATAACAGTAGCTTCCACCTACTAAGATGAAAGTGTCCTTTACATAAATGCAGCCATTCTATTCTCTCCCCCAAATGGGAAAAACAAAGTCTCACAGTCCAACAGATGTATCTATGTCCAGGAGTTAGTCACTGCGTCCATATTTGGGTGTTAATTATTCTTCTAATTCAATTACAATCTCACCATGCAACTAAACACTAAAGTTGGTAATCATTTACAATCTTCATATAAAAGAAGGGGAAAAGAGGAGGGAGGAAAAAGTAAATTACACAACACACACACATCCCAAGACAGGAAGAAAGTATGCATGGCTGCAACAAACCTCTCTCTGGTAACTGGTCACCATGCCATAGGATGTACAACTTCATTTTTCCACTGCCCTTCCACATTCCCTGTACTCTCACCCAACACTTCAACTGGTTAGGGTTCTTTACATGGTGGAGTGGATCCAATCATCATTCCTGAAGGGTCTGAATCCTCAGTGGTCCTGCACAGGTTGGGGTGCCATAACTTCTCATTCACTGTTACTGTTGTCCATGGAAGTATTAAGAAGATCCTTAGAGAACCCCTTGGGTTCCAGACATCGTCCTCCTTACCCTGTGCAGCAGCAGCCCAGTTTCCCCTTGGTGATGAGGACCAGCCAAGCAGTGAGCACAGTAACTCTTCCTTTGCCTGTTGGTTTAGTGGCATGAGGAGTCCCAAAAGGCCAGGTGGAAGTTGGAACTTCCAATTCGATGCAAACCATGTTGGCTTCCTTCCCTTGAAAACCAAGATCTCCAAACTTGCAGAGCTCAATATTGCAAGGGCCAGAAGCAAACGTTTTGTGGGTGGCTGTAGCAGGCTGAACAATGACCACACAAAGATAGCAAGTCTTAATCTCTGGATCCAGTATAAGGAAAAAGGGTCTTTGCAGATGTGATGAAGTTAAGGCTTTTGACATGGGGAGATAATCTAAGATTATGTGGTGACCCCTAAATCCCAGTCACAAATGTCTTTTGAAGACAGGCAGAGGGAGATCCATAACACAGAAGGGGAGAAGGTGATATGAAGATGGAAGCAGAGATGGGAGTGATGTGGCCACAAGCAAAAGGAATGTCAGAAGCCACCAGAAACTGGAAGAGTCAAGGGATAGAGTCTCCCCTGGAGCTGTGGAGAGAGCACAGCCCTGCTCACACCTTGATTTGGCCCCAGGGAAACTGATGTTGAACTTCTGGCCTCCAGAACTGTGAAAGAATAAATTTGTTTTATTTATTTATTTACTCGAGATAAGGCCTGGCTCTGTCACCCAGGCCAGAGTGCAGTGGCATGATCACAGCTCACTGCAGCCCTGAATTCCTGGACTCAAGTGATCCTCCCACCTCAGCCTCCCAAGTAGAAATTTCTGTTGTTTAAGTTTATAGTTATTTGTTATGGCAGTCACAGGAAACTAACATGGTGGGTCATTTGGTGTCATATACAGTGAGAGAAGCCACTCTTACTACCTCCCATGGATTCCTGGAACCTTATGTTCTGGCTATGTCAATGAGGATAAGTCCTGCCCTCTCAATGATGGAATTGACCTGGCACCAGGTGGCTAGGTGGACCCCTGCAGAGGGATGACATATTAGCATTTGTTTCTGCTGATGGGCAGGTTGGATGTGCAGTAGCAGCATTAGCCAGATCAGCCTTGGTGAGGTAAGCCCACGTTTTTGAACCCATAAATGGTCTCTATTCTGGCCATCATGACCACATTGTACATGGGCATATTGAAAAACACCAAGAGACTGGAGAAAGAGGCTGACTGACAGCCACAGAATATGCCATCTTGTCCACCTCACTATTGAGAGCCCCCTCTGCCATGCATGCCTTGTGGTGAGATTTCACTTGGAATGCAAATATCTTCACATTGTGTGTCATTTCTGAAAGTTCATCTAAATGCCTTTTCCAGTTTTCCTTACTACCAATCCTCCAATTATGTGCTGAGACCCTGACTGTCCAGCCAAACCATTACACATAAATCAGTATAGATCCATATTTCTTGTCACCTCTTGATCCAGGCAAAATGGAAACCCAAAAGTGTTGAAGGATGAGTAGGATTTGGCCAGGCCTGGGAACTGGGGTGCTGCTGTTGGTGGTGAATGTTCTGGCTAGAAGGCATAGCATGTGCAAAGGTCCAGAGGCACCAGAGAGCGTGCTACATGAAATGAACAGAAAGAAATCCCTATGGCTGGACCCAAAGAGCAACAGAGAGAGTGGTGCAAGTGAAACTTTAGAATTAGAGGTCAAAGTTTGCAGGATATCATAAATCCATTCCAAAGAGACAGGACTTAAATATGAAGACAGCAGGGAGCCAATGAAAGATTCTGATTAGAGATCGCACTGGGGTAGGTTTGCATTTAGTAAGTTTTCTTCCTAGAATGGAAGACAGATTTCAGGGAGCAAGTGTATATGTAGGGAAAGCAGGTAGGAGACTACTGATGCAGTAACCTGAGCAGGAGAGGCTGGTAACCTGAAAAAGTCCCCTGGCATTTCACTAATTGAGTAAATGTCTATTGAGCACCTGCTGTATGCCAGACCCTGGCTCAGCACAATACACAGGATGAACAGGCGCAGGAGAACAGGCTTTGGCCCTGAGGTCATCCGGCCTCTGGGGGAGACAGATGCACAATGAACCAATGCACAAGCCACTGTTTGTCTTCTAAGTTTGTCCGGCTCAGCAAGGAGGGTTTGCAGGTGGCTATGGGAGTTCCCAAACTGTCATCAAATACGTCCTTGAGAACAGATACGATTTTAGCCTGGCATGTCATTTATCTATTGCTATGTAACAACTTATCCTAACACTTGATGGCTTAAAACAACAGCTGTTTCATTTACTCTTGATTCTATGGGTTAGCAGTTCGGGCTGAACTCAGCTGAGCAGTTCTCTTGGTCTCGCCTGGGGTCATGCATGTGCTTGCAATCATCTGGCATCTTTACAGGGGCTGGATGACCTAAGAGGGCCTTACTCACATGTCTGGTGTCAGGCGTGGGCTGTCAGCACCCCCTGGTTGGTAGCAGGCAGGATAGTTTGTCTCTGCTCCATGTGGCTTCTCATTCTCCAGTAGGTTAGCCTAGGGTTCCTCACGTGGCAAGAGAGCGAAAGTGGAAGCTGTATGGCCTCTTGAGGCCCAGGCTCAGAAGCTGTCCTAAGCAGCCTGGGACTACCATGTTGCAAGGGCTCTGCTCCCCTGCATGGGTGCTCTGAATATGTTGCAGCTTCCACACTCTGGAAGATCAAAAAAACTCCATGTAGTATATTTCTCAATGTAGATAATTTTGTTTTTCATGGACCTTTGACAGTTCCAGTTGTTAAAAAGTCTTTGATTTCCCTCTGAGAAGTTGAGGGGCACATCTTTTCCTACCACCTACCTCTGTGTGCGATGGGACTGTGACAGCTTCCACTCCGGTGGCCGGTCTGTGTGGACTGCCATAACAAATACCACGGACTGGGAGGCTTAGCAACAGAAATTCATTTCCTCACAGATCTGGAAGTGGAAGATCCAAAAATCAAGGTGTCAGCAGGGTTGGTTTCATTTTGAGGCCTCTCTCCTTGGGCTGGAGAGGCTGTCTTCTTCTGGGTCTGTATATAGTCATAGTCGTCTGTGTGTGTGTACATGTCTGGTGTTTCTCTCTGTGTCCTGAGCTCTTCTTCTTACAAGGATGCCGTATTGGTTTAGTGCTCACTCTAACTCCCCGTTTTAACTTAATTGCCTCTTTAAAGGCCCTATCTCCAAAGGCAGTCACATTTTGAGGGATTGGGGGTTAGAGCTTCACCATATGAATTTTGGAAGGATACAATTCAGGCCATAACACCTGGAGTGTGAGTTTGACCTACCAACTTGGCCACCTTTCTGCTGTAAATGCACAGGGGCTGAGAGTCACTCTATTCCAACTGGGCAGAGCTGGATAGATATGTAGACATCACAGAACCAAGTTGTTTGGAAAAAAATGTTTTTAAAGCCCAGAACCTTTGCTACAACATAACCTATTTAGAACCCCAATGTATAACATATACTCAATGCAACCAAAAATGGGGACCTCCCAGAGAAGTAGCCTCAATTCTCCCCCTGCAT